TTCCTTCCTTCCTTTCTTCCTTCCTGGCATTTTAGCCCAAATGGAATGGTAGATATGGGGGAAAGTGGTTCAGAGTTTGATGCAAATTTACTTGCTAAATCTGATCCTGAACTAGAACACACTCTGTACAACATTATATATTTTTTTAAATTCTGCAGCACAGCCCATAATTTTTTTTTTAATGTACCAAAATATTTGTACAAGGGAAAGGTTTACACAAAACTATGCATAGTGGTAAAAAAATCATTTGCAAAATGTGTACATTTCTAATGCTTCAGGAAATGTCCACCAAAATATGTACAGATTTTCATGAGGATTTTTAAAATGTTAATAGGCCAGCTGAATATTAGAAATCCAATCTGAATGGTAAGATTCACCCTTCATGAAAATGGGAGAGGTGGAAAAAAGTGTCTATTGTTGCAGCACAGGACATCACTAGTAAAAGCTTAGCTATCTCAGAGGTGGTGTCCTTCTCTGTGTATTGGTTCTGGGTTGCAGACAATAGGAAAGGTCCCACTGCCTTCCAAGACTGCTATGTTTGCAGCTTCCCAGAATAACCTGGTGCCACTTAATTGAAACAGAATGCTGAATCAGATGGGCCGTTATTTTATTATAGCAAGGAACTTTTTAAGGAGCAAAATGCAACATTATGCACACAGATTCTACGGCCTGTGCCTCAGCTGGTTGTAGTACCAACTAATAACTGTATGCATGAATATATGAAAGTCACAGCTTAAGCGCATCTAGTTGAAACCAACTAGACAAACGGTCTTACCAAAATAGGGCTCTTCTTCAGCTCCCTTGAGATGCACTCCTCTGGGAGAAGACTCAACGAGGAAGTGCCTGATGTGGTTACCAGCATCTTCCGCTTTAAAACAAAACAAAGGAATCTGAAATGCAACTTATAAAAAAATCAACATTGAGCACTGGAAGCTTTGGAAAGGTCAAGTCTGAAAGAGCTTTAAAAAGGTATTTTTAGGCTTTAAATATTCAACTCTGGCTCTCTTATCTGATTTCGGTGCTGTTTATGTTTAATGCTAGATACAATATACTATGACAATGAAGACATAATTCCTGAGCAGAGTTTTGTACAGAAATAGATAACACATATCTTTTTCCTGGTTTTCTGATATCACCATCATCATCTTTTGATTCTATGGAAATTCTTTGCTACAAAGTTAAACGAGATGAAGGAATAGAATTGTTTTGAGAACAGTTTCAGCTCATGAAATAAAATGTTTCTGAATATAAATCAGTGATAGTCTCATGGTGGAATTCTTCCAGAGATGTGAAAGTTAAACCTTTAGAAAACTAAACCCAATGTCTCATGAAATGGGTTTCATTGTCTTTCAACAATTCATGTTCTGTTCCTCTGTTTAAAGAAATGTTATGTGACTGCAAATTCAGCAATGTGGGAATTGAATTGAATTTCAAATGCGAGCTGATGAGTTGGAGTCCTAAACATAACAAGATAATTCACCACAAATGCTAGAGTTTTTGGCTAAAATGAAACCCCTGACCCTCCATCATAACCATGAATGCAACTGCTTAACAAACATTTTCAGCATATGACAACAACAGAAAACGTCCTCTGTAAAGTTCCACCCATACAAATAATCACAGGGAAAATATTGCTTTTGGCCTGCAAATGCAATCTAAACCAAACAATATTGAGAAGAAGCAAATGAGCAGCAATTCTTTAACCCACGTTTGCACTCTCTCATGCTCACTCTCTCTCTGCATAGGGACACATGCATTTTCTTGCAGCCTTTCCTGGCCCAGGGTCCTCAGATGTGTTCGAATACAAATTCCATAATTCCCAATGACTATTCTGGGTAGGACCAATGGGGATTGTAGCTGAATACATTTAGAAGGCATCAATGTGGCACGGTACTATTTTACTGTAGTGTTTTGTTTTTTAAAGAATAAACCCTTTCCTGACTTCCAAAACCTGGGAGCGTTGAAGGGCAAGGTTTAAATCCTAAAAATGAAGAAATATTCATTTTTAACATTAAAACGAAAGCTGCAATATCTGCTCCCATTCTTTGCAATCTCTCGCTGCGCTCTTCTGTTTTAAATAAATATTCCCTGGTCCAACAAAGTTTGCGATCTGAGCCACACTGGAGAAAACCTCCAGTTGTGTGGGGAAGATAAATGTGGAACAGGTTTCAATCCTGTTCTCCTTCTGCTCCTCTTAATGATAATTAACTTCTATTCCCTCGACTATGTGCTTCATAACCTAGCTGGGGCGCACATAGTTAACTAATAGACAAGTTTGCACTTTCCTTCAGCTACATTCCCTGCCCTGAAGCTGAGACCTCTGCTGAAGTCACAGAAAGCTTGCTTGCCCTGGCTTGCAGCTACGTTGCCCTGAAACGGTTGGGTGGACAGGTTCCAGGACATTAGGCTTGCGTTGTTTCTGTTTCATTTCCTCAGAGACATCTTGCAGGTTGCTTCCAATCTGAGAAGCCAAGTTTGCTCTGACTTGAGCCTCACACTGCCTTTGATTCAGAGAGACTCAAGGAGGCCTCCATATAGTCATTTGCCAACTTTCTATTGGTTTTCTGTTTTATTTGTTCGCAGTTCCTTTTGACGTCTCATCAGTCGTCTTTCCTCTCCTCTTTCACTTCTCTGCTGCTTTACCCTCCGGGGGTTCCCCCACCATTGCTTTCCTATGTGAAAAAGCTTCAGATTTGCTAGGCTTTGATTTCTAAAACATGCAACAATGACTGTTTGCTTTTATGAAGATGCTGTGCTCTATCAATTATATGTTTTTCAATGTTTTTCATTTTTGCAGGATTTCCTTAACAGTGTGCCATGTGACAACTGGGAGCATGCAGTGAGAAATGGGTTGAATGATTAACTACAGCCACGAGCTTGGAGCTTTTGGCCTTGCAGGGGACGCAGTGCATCGCCTCTACAATAGCTGCAGATGCATCACCAATCTTTAGGAGAAGCCACAGGCTGCCTCTCTGCAAGAGTCACTAACCTCGCTTGCGTTCCAGCACTGCAGCTGTCAAAATTTGGGGAGTCTGCTATCTTTCCCCTCCTTCTTAGGTCTTATCAATACTGAGACTGGAAACATGCAGGTAGGGGCTTATATTTATTTATATAAAGAACTCCTAAGTGGGGATTCTGCAGAGTTTGGCACCAGAGCAGCTTTTCTCAATGTGGTGCCCTCCAAATATGCTGGGGCTGCAACTTCCAGACTTCCCAGCCAACTGGCCCCCTGCTTGGGAATTCTAGAGTTTAGAGTGCAATACATCTGGAAAGCATCAGGTAAGGCAGGCTGCTGTAGAATCTCTTGCCTTTGTGCAGTTCAAAGCAGGAATTTTCAGTACCTGTTTTGCTGCTGAAGACTTTCAGGGCTAAGCCAAATGAGCCAGGATAAGATGTGCTGTCCCTCATAATAAATGTACCTGGCGGTTCATCCATTAGCAGCAGGATAGCTGTTAAAAACATACACCCAGGGAACAAAGGGTCACCATATCAAAGAATAATGAGAGATTAATAATCATTTGTATCTTTTGCAAAACAATTTCCTGTGTTCAAAGCACTTTGCATGCATTGCTTAGCTGTCACCCTTGCAGTAACCCTATAGCTAAACCAGGGTTTCTCAACCTTGGCCACTTGAAGATGTGTGGACTTCAACTCCCAGAATTCCCCAGCCAGCAAGAGTTGAAGTCCACACATCTTCAAGAGGCCAAGGTTGAGAGACACTGAGGTAAACCAATATTGTGATCATCCCCTATGTTGCAGATAGGGATAATGGCTGGCCTAAGGCCATTTGGCCAAGTTACATTTGGCCAAGTTACACAAAGGCCAGACTGGAATCAGGAGCTTCTTAATCTATAGCTCTTTGCTGTGTATTACTCAAGATAAGACTAGAAAGGGTCTCCTATAATTTGAAAAAAATGAGCAGCTTGAACAGGAAGGTCTTAAGGGAGAAAACACTGCCCGCTCCTCAACGATATTGCATGCCTTTATCTATTTTTCTTTCATCTTTGCAAGCTCTCCCTTTCAGAGACACAGAGGGACAAACCAGATTTCCTTTCCCAGGTACAGTCTGGTACTCCTGGTTTTGTATATAGGGTCCATCTCACAAAAGAGAACTGTAGGAATTATATGAAAGAACAAATGAAATGTCTTGTTCTGCATGAATATGTGTAACAAAAGCTTGAATGATGGCTGTGAGCAAATACTAGCCATATAGGCAGCATCTCTTAAAATCCCAGGACAGAGAGGAGGGGATTAGATACTGTATTGCCTTTATCAAGGGGATTTTGCTTTACAAATAAGGAAGGAAAGGACAAATGCTGCTCAATTATTTTGAGCAGTGATATCATCTTAATTTGAACTTGGCAAATATATATATATATGGTGGAAGCCTACATCATATTAAGTTGATCCAAAGTTTGGAGTTCAAAACATATGGAGGTAGGTAAATAGGTAGATAAATAGATAGTAAAGCGAGACGGGGATTTTCTGGGAAAAGTAATTGAGAGACATATGTTTTGTCCCATCTAATAATTCTGTCATCCTTTTCATGCTCCAAACATTTGTTTGCATTTCTAGAAGCTGGATTCCCAAGCGGGGAGGGAAGGGAAAGGATTAAATCCTTTCATCACTTCATTCTGCAGGTTGACTCTTCTCCAAAATGGATATGTAGATCAGTATAAATCTGGTACATTTTCCTCTCTATGTCTAAATGGCATTGATCCAGTTCTTTTGTTACAGATTTTATTTTAATAGATCAGTTAAAAATTCACACTGAATTTTGTTAACTTATATAGTGCACAATTTCTCTAATGTACATAAAAATTTTATTTTAATAGATCAGTTAAAAATTCACACTGAATTTTGTTAACTTATATAGTGCACAATTTCTCTAATGTACATAAAAATTTTATTTTAATAGATCAGTTAAAAATTCACACTGAATTTTGTTAACTTATATAGTGCACAATTTCTCTAATGTACATAAAAATTTTATTTTAATAGATCAGTTAAAAATTCACACTGAATTTTGTTAACTTATATAGTGCACAATTTCTCTAATGTACATAATTGTTAGTGCAAATGCCTCAGGAAATCTTTTTTAAACACATTTTTCTGAAATTATTTTTGTTACATAACTCTCCCCTCCCTTATCCCTTTCACTAATCCCATTTTCTGAGCCAAATGAAGAAAATGGCTAAGGGAAAGTGTAAAAACAGAAGGGAAAAAAGGCACAGCGAAGCTCTCTTTTCCTCTCTTCCAACTACAACTTCTGCCTCCACTTTCTACATCAGAAGCAAGCTTGGAAGTCTATCTTTCCTTTCACCATCTAGCGTTAGACTAGATGGATGTGTTCCTAGGAGGAGGATAAATGTCTGGTTCAGATACAGCAACAGAAATGGAGTTCTGGGTTATATGAAGAAGCCAAAAGGTGGCTGTTGGGTTTGAGGATGCTCTGGACTAAATGCTCTCCAAGGATCCCTTGACCATCACAGTAAGGCTTATCATTTAAC